TGTTGCGGAGCATGGGCTCTAGGCGCACAGGCTTCAGTAGTTGTGGCTCGCGGGCTCTAGAGCGCAGGCTTAGTAGCTGCAGCGCACAGGCTTAGTTGCTCCGCGGCATGTGGGATCTTCCCGGACCAGGGATTGAACCCTTGTGCCCTGCATTGGCAGGTGGATTCTTAACCACTGCGCCACCGGGGAAGCCCCTTTAAATATTCTTTAACTAATTTAATCCTTACAATTCTGAGGTCAAGTGACTTGCCCAGGATAAGTTAGTAAATTGTAAAGCTAGAATTCAAACCCAGGTAACCTGGCTCCAGAACTCATGCTTATAAACCACTTAATGCTGCCTCTCTTCTCTCAATCAGGTATCCACCAAAAACTACCACCACCACCTCCATCTATTCCATTTATTAACTACTGTCCTATTCTTCCATGCCCTTCAGAGACAACCTTAAGAGTCATCCGTGCCCTCTTCTCTCACAGCCACTCCAGCCTTGCTTACACCCCGTCTACTGCATCAAGGACCTCGAGGTGACCAACGTCATCCTTGTTGCTAAGTCCAATATATACCTTTCAGTCCTCATCTTAAATGAATTCTCGGCATCATCTGCTATTAAGTATTGTCTTCTTCGTGAAATAGTCTCATTTCTACTACCTCAAAATTTTCTGAGTTTTTTTCTCCTCCCTTTCTGGACATTACTTCTCTCAATGTTCAGAGATCCTCAAAACTCTCCCAGTTTACACATGCTTCCTGGACTTCGTTTCAAAGACCAACTATGCTGAGGACACCCCCATTTTATGACATTAGCCCAGATCCTCCTCCTAAACTCCAGACCTATTTATCCATCTGACACCTAGATATCACAGGATTCATAAACTACACTCCCCAACCTGAATGCATCTTCTTCCTTCTAAACAGACCTTCCTTCTGTTCTCAATGACATCACAGATGATTCAGTTGCTGAAAAGAAGCCTGGATTCTCTTACTCCACATATATTTGGCTACCAGGTGGTACAATCTCTCAGATTCATTTATCTCCACATTCTTAATTCAGACTACCATTATCTCTCACCTGGATTCATCATTTCAGCAGTTCCTTCTGACTCCATACACACCATACAACTCATGTTTTACACAACCCAAGCATTTTCAAAACTGCAAATCTGTCAATCATAAAAATTCAATGGCTTCTTGTCACTGTGTTTTTACTTAGAGGGCCATTCATGTTCTTACCCTGCTTACCTCTATAGTTGAATCGTCCCTCCCTCATACTTTACACACCAGCCACATTGAGTATTTCTCAGTTCTTGGAACCTGCCACTCTTTCTCCTTCAGGTCTTGATATATGCCAAGTTCACTCTGCCAGTCACTCCTCCTCCTTTTAGCCTCTTTTATGTTCTTTAGGACTCAGCCAGTCTCTTTACTGACGAAAGCTAAATTGGGTGTTAAGTATCCATCCTTTTACTTCCACAGCACTCTACTTCCCCAGTTCCCATCATGTGCTTTTGTTATCAGGCTGTATAGGCAGGAACAAGATCTGCTGCTCATGACTACCTAGCAAAAAAACATGCTTACCAGGTGCTTACCATGGGTAAGGTTTAGTTGAATGAATGAATCAAAAGGAGACTGCTCAGTCCAAGGAGAGATAAAGGTGTGGCTTCCAAGGAATTATTTGCTCTGTGGCATTAAGCAACTGCCCTAACCTTTCTGGATCCTACTCCCTTCTGTGGGATGTGGTTATCGTTTTCAGCCCTATTCCCACCCAATGAATTTAAAAGTATTCCCTATTGGATCACTGTCACTCTCCTGCTTAGTTTTCAGATGTTCCCCATGACCTATAGGAAAAGTCCAGAGATGTCTGCTGCTGTCTGGGCCCATCATTCAGCTAGCAGCCACATGCTGTCCCACCACATCCTATCTTCTGTTTTGTGACTCTGCCCTGACTGATGTTTGAGGGCATGGCCCAGTAGAGGAGGCATCAGTAAGCTGGTTACCTGAGGAAAAAGCAAGACAACGGATGAATAGCTGAGAATGATTTAAAATAATCTGACCCAAAGCTCAGATTTGGTAGTTATCAACAGAAAGATCTGGAGTTGTATCTATTACCCCTACTGATACTCCCACATGACTGACCCAATCTCTTTCCTGCCATAGGCCTGGGCTCTAATATCTTCCGCCTGCTAGATAGCCTGCGGGCCCTGTCAAGCCAGGCTGGATGCCGCCTCCGTGCCCTGCATCTCAGTGACCTGTTCTCACCACTGCCCATCCTGGAGCTGACACGTGCCATTGTGCGAGCCCTGCCCCTGTTGCGGGTCCTCTCTATTCGTGTCGACCACCCTAGCCAGAGGGACAGCCCTGCAGTACCAGGGAACGCAGGGCCCCCTAGCCACATAATTGGGGACGAGGAGATACCAGGTGAAGTACTATGCATGTGTGTCCATCTCCACAGAGGTGTGCAGGTCTGTTTGTGTGGGGAAGGCGGAAGATCTCTAATCCAGGCCAGTCACCACACATTCCTGGCTTATCTGTAATTTGTTGCCTTTAGAGCCTGTCCTTAAAGATAACCATGGGTTGGATAGATCCCAGACCAACACTAGCCCCGTAGGGAGTGACTATGGCAGATCTGTCTCCAGAAGGGGGTCTGAACCAAGAACAGACCTGACAGTTAGACTAGATTGGGTCCCCACGCTGTATGTCCCCTTAGTTCCTGCATGTCTCATGTGCCACCATGCTGCATACTCTATACTCTACTTGTGTCTGATTAGTTGTGTCCTTGGATTAAAAGCACCGTTAAGGACAAGGACTAAATCGTATATTAGCATACTGCCTCGCATATAGTAGGCACTCAAGGACAAGTAGACGAATAAATGATTTTTCAGTGAATCCTTTAAGGACAGGATGGGACCTGCAATGGGAGAGAGGTAGCAATGGCCAGCTGTAATCTTCTCTCCCTACCATATCCAGAAAACTGCCTGGAACAGCTGGAGATGGGATTTCCACGGGGAGCCCAGCCAGCCCCACTGCTCTGCTCTGTACTGAAGGCCTCAGGTTCTCTGCAGCAGCTGTCCCTGGATAGTGCCACCTTTGCCTCTCCCCAAGATTTTGGGCTTGTGTTGCAGACACTCAAAGGTAGGACCCAGTTAGAATGGTAAAGGGAGAATAGAAAGGGACTTTGCATTGTTCTTTGAGAACACAAAGGTCCATGAACTTTCCCGATCCAGAGTACAACCTAGCTCTGAAGAGGCTGAGCTTCCACGACATGAATCTGGCTGACTGTCAGAGTGAGGTGCTGTTTTTGCTACAGAATCTGACTCTTCAAGGTAAGTTCATCCAGAGCCTGGGGCATTCGTGGGTCCTCACTGCAGATCTGCCACGGTCTCACTGAGTGAGCAAGCCACTGTTCTTTTCTTGGCCTTATGTCAACTATAAAATGATCACAGAACCTGCATCACCTTCCTTCTAAAGGGTCCCCTACTCAACTCTTCCTATACTAAACATGGGAAATTACTCACTTGGAGACTGCTTCACCTAAAAGTTTTTCTTACCTTCCAGTGGCTGACAAATGATGGTGGTGGGAAGGGATAAATGTGCTGCCAGGAGCCCCCTCATAGACTTGTAGCTAATGCCCACCCCTGCATAGAAGGAAGTATATGGAGGTCTGTGCAGAGAGCCTCCCCTGTAGGCTCAATCTCTGGTTTGAATACTGACTTAGTTGCAGCCTTGCTTGGGGTTCTGGCCAAATTATTTTCTCCTTCTGGGACTCGGTAAAATGCTCATACCCCTTGCTAAGGCCCTGGGGCCGGAGGGGCAGCACCAGTTCTCATGCTGCCATCAGAACTTATTCCACTTTCTCTTGACAGAGATTACCTTCTCCTTCTGCCGTCTGTTTGAGAAGCGCCCAGCCCAATTTCTGCCTGAGATGGTTGCTGCTATGAAGGGCAACTCCACACTGAAGGGCCTCCGGCTGCCGGGGAACCGCCTGGGTGGGGGCAGGGCCCTGAGGAGGGAGAGGGGGAAGGAGCCAGTCCTTTGACTTAGAAATTCAGTGGGTGAAGGCATACACCTCTCCACTGGGAAGACAGGGGTTGGGATATAGTTGTGCTGGGGCTTTAGGAGTCTGGGCTTCTCCCCAGCCAGAACTGGGTTGGGATACCCTTGTTCCCTGTTCTTGGGTAGAGGTGATGAGTATTTCTCCCCTTCTCCCCAGGGAATGCTGGCCTACTGGCCCTGGCAGATGTATTCTCAGAAGATTCATCCTCCTCTCTCTGTCAGCTGGATATCAGGTACATGTGGGTGTGGGGAAGGTGAAGGGAGGGCAACGACAAGGGATGGAGCTGCAGGGACACAGACCAGGGATTAGCTGGCTCCTGGGTGTCTAATCCTTCTCACCCCTACCAGTTCCAACTGCATCAAGCCAGATGGGCTTCTGGAGTTTGCCAAGCGGCTGGAGCGCTGGGGCCGTGGGGCCTTTGGTCACCTGCGCCTCTTCCAGAACTGGCTGGACCAGGATGCAGTCACAGCCAGGGAAGCCATCCGACGGCTCCGCGCCACCTGCCATGTGGTTAGCGACTCGTGGGACTCATCCCAAGCCTTCGCAGATTATGTCAGCACCATGTGATGGGCCCATGCCTCACAGGCCCATACTCAGTACCATCAGCTTGCAGGGGCTGAGGCATGGGCTGCCCAGAACTCCCAACCACCAATTCTATCTTTCTCTTTCTGTCACCTTTTTTCTCTTTCTTCCTTTTGCCCTTGCACTGAGGTCTTGGGACGCTTTGATGGGGCCCAGCAAAGGCATTCCCACAACTGGGTTTAGAGCCTTTGGGCTCCTTACTCAGTACCCTGGGCCAGGAGGTCACAGTGGTCATTAATCACTGAGGACAGCCCCCACCCCCTTCCCTGCCCCAGGGTTCCTGCTTTCCCTCCTCAAGCAGTTACCCAGGCTTTAGTGAAGTGTAGGAGTGCCCACTACCAGGCCTCTCCTCTACTGGGCTCACCATGCTGCTCCCAGGCCTCAGTCCCTTTCATACCTTTATTCCTTTCTTTTTTTTAACCAAAAAAGTTTTTCTTATAAAATAAATTTTGGGCAAACATCATGCAGCCCTTCTTGATGATTTTTCTCTCAGAGAACATAATTCAACAGTGCCCTGTGGGGCAGGGAGCCCCCTTTCCCCAACTTCTTCCTCTAACAGCTACACACCAGACCAGCTGGTTATCAGTGGAGGCCCTGCTGCTCCTCATGGGAATGCTGGTGGAAGACGAAGGTGATGGCAGTGGAAGCAGCATCCCAGGCAGCCTGGAGTACCTCATCCTTGAGCCCCCGCTTATCAGTGGTATGGTTCCACTGAGCCAGGTCTGAGGTGCAGTCAGAACCATCAGGGGGTGGCCAGACCTGGCGGTTGTTGACACAGCGGTGGCAGCGCAACCTGCGGGCAGAGGACAGAGCTGTGGTTACTGTAGATCCCATCTCCATGCTGTGTAGGGTGTTCAGAGGTAATGGCCAGCAGGGCACTCCACCCACCTGTCATGTGTGTCACTGGGGCTAGCCTCATCCAGGGTAAACAGCTCCTTCAACTCGCCTAGAGAGAAGTGCCGCTCCACATCCTGCTCCTCGTCCACCACACAGCTGCTTAGTGCCTTCTTGTGGCTCTGACGCTGAAAGATCTTCTCCTCAATGGTTCCTGCCTAGGGGTGGGGGGTAGGGGTGGAAGCCAGGGCTAAGTCACCTCCAAACATAGGGGGCAGGAAAACCCAGGGGTTGAAACTATAGCCACCCAAGAGAAGGGGAGATGAATGAGAAGAGTCTTGCAGCAATACCTCTGTTCATCTAAGCCAGCGGTCCACAACCTTTTTGGCACTAGGGACTGGTGGTTTCGTGGAAGACAATTTTTATACAGACTGGTGACGGGTGGGGGTGGGTGGGGAATGGCTCAGGTGGTTAACACGAGCAATGGGGAGCCCCAGATGAAGCTTTGCTCACTTGCTGCTCACCTCCTGCTGTGTGGCCCAGTTCCTAACAGGCCGTGGATCAGTTCCAGTCCCTGGACCAAGGGTTGGGGACCCCTGATCTAAGCCCATTTTCCCAGTCTATCTTTTGGGAATATGACTTGTGCATGTCTGCCCACCCAGGATATTTTCTGTACCAATGGAGGATTCCAGGGCCTCGCTAAATTTCTTCAGGGTGGGCTGAGGTTTGTCTGCAGCAGCAGATCTCCACACCAAGTCCAAATCTCACTCACTCAAGTAAATGTCATTTGGGTATCCTATGCCAGGCCCTGTGCTAATGCCAGGATACAAAGAAGAATCCAATATGATCCTTATTCTTAAACTCATAGACTACTGGGGGAGAGAGAGACATATAATTGGTACAATGATAGAAATCTGTATAGGATACCCAGGGACCCACAAGAGGGATGGTGGAATGGAATAATGTCGAAAAGCTTGAAATTAAGGATTACCCTTGAGCTGAATCTTGAAAAATGAATAAATGGTTTACAAGGAAAGAGAGAAGGCATTCCACGTATAAGAAAAAAATCAATAAGCCTGGCCTACTAGAGGACTGTGAGGAGTTTGGCCTGTCTAGAGGATGGTAGGAGTACAGTACGTAAGAGCTGGGACTGAGAAAGCCCCATACTGGAGAAACTTGGATGCCAGGCTAAAGAGCTTGGCCTTGTCTTGGAAGTGAAAAGCAAAGTTAGAATTTTTAGAAAGCTCATTCCAGAAGTAGTTGTGAAGAATGGGTTATGATAAGACCAAAGGTAAAGAATTAGGAAGTCAGATGACTGTGATTTTAGTATGGGATGGAGAGGAAGGTTAGATTAAGGAAATTTTGAGAAGGTAAAATCAATGGTATAATTAGAATCTGGTTAGGAAACAGAGAATGGTCCAGTAGGATGATACCCAGATTTAGGTTGGGTGGATAACAGAGCCATTAAATGACAAAATTCAGAAGGGGATACTCGTAAGACATTTAAGTAGAAATATACAGTAGGTGATGGAAATATGGGTCTAGAACTCAGGTAAGAGATCTGGGCTAAAAAGTTAATTAGAGACTTGGCAATATAATGAGTGCATATAATCACAGCGGTAGGAAAACCAGAGTGGAGTTTCCAAAGAGAAAAGAATTTTAAGATTTGTAGCCAACAGTGTCAGATATACAAAGAAGAAAAATCAAGAGTCTCTTATTTCAGCAATTAGGAAGCCAATACATCGAAAGCAGGTTCAGTGGCATAACTGGTCAGATAAGTGAATAGGAGATGAGATGAAGTAAATCTGTAGGCTTTGGAAAAATCTGACAGTGAATGAATGAAAAGTAACCCAAGGTAGTCACTGCAATAGGACAGTGTTGAGAAACTTGTTTTTAAGGAGAGCTACTTGACAATGTTTACAGACTTCAGGGAAATAAAGGATAAACTGATCAACTAAGAAAGGAAAGGATAGAAAAAGGGTCTAGAGCAGAGCTGGAATGATAAGCCTCGAACAGAGAGGAAGGAAATGATTTTCCTTTGAGAATGGAAGGGAAGAGCAGGTGTAAAGACTGACAGAGAGAGGAAATTAGGCAAGAGAATTTAAGCTTGGTAGCCTACATTTTCTCTGTGAAGTAGAAGACAAAGTCTCTCCAGAAAGAAGGAAAGACAGGGCCAGGTAGGAAGCTTGAGGAAAGTGGTGAAGGCTTGAAGTAGCTGGTGAAGGAAATGAGATATGGCCCTGCTCAAAATGGACAATTAATCTGTGGTAGCGCCAATCTGTAAACACAAGCTGTATCTGGTGCAGAAGCTGAAGCTGAGAACAGCTGTAAGGATCCACATGGAGTAGGTATTAGGGGAAGAGTGGCTGAAAGGATGCACGATGAGGATCAGGCTGAAGAGAAAGGGAAGCCAGACTGGGAGGAGCTGGGGCGGGGGTAACTAGGGACGTAAGGTTGAAACAGATATAGGAGGTATGAGAAAGCTGGAAGGACAGGAAATGAGAGTAGAATGATAGGTATTAAAGTTCTGGGTACTATGTAATTTTGGTACTGTTACAAGTTCCATACTGTGGCCTTTGGAATAATGAGAGTAAAAAAATGAGGGGGAGGACTTCCCTGGTGGCACAGTGGTTAAGAATCCGCCTGCCAATGCAGGGGACACAGGTTTGA